TGTTCATGTTCACCATGGAATGGTGCTGGGCCACACACATCATCAGATCCTTGCAAACTCACAGGATTCTCTCTTCTACTCACCTGATTTGCTACCAGCAGAGACTGTGGATGGTATGGTGGAGGTTATGGGGCTAGTACTGGTAAACCCTGAAGACACTCCTGTGGTCCCTGGAATTAAGAATAGATTTGGACTTGGAACATTAGGCATATTGCTTTTGACATTACTATGAGTACTTGGCAATGTCAGAAAAGGAAGTTCCAGTCACTGTTCTCCAGATTTCCTCAGACCTTTTTGCATAAGTTAGAGGCTTATTAAGCACTCTCCTGCTTAATGTTCTGGTTTATAAGCCTCTAACTTATAAAATCTCTTAGAGCTGATGCATAAATTCATTGAATGGCAGGAGACAAAACTAACATACAAGATCAGTAGCTTTCCTATATTCTAACAATAAACAAACTAAAACAAAAGAAGTCTGGGAAATACTTCCAGTCACAATAGCAACAATAAAATAAAATAAAATACCTAGGAACAACCTAACTAAGAAAACAAAAGACCCCTAAATTAAAACTTTGAAGACACTTATTAGGAACATAGCTGAAACCATTTTGTGTAACTCGAATCTATTTTATGTGACTTGAAATAATACGATGCCTGAGCTTGCTACCAGGTAGCTCTGATAAGACCTAGGCCTCAGAAGCAAGATCCTGGCAGGCCACTAGAAGCTCAAATAGGAGCCTAGGCTTGGACATATCTTGATATGTTAATGAGCTCACCCCAAGATTGTGTTGGCATGCTGGCAAACCAGCCCTAAGCTGTGGGCCCTGAGAGCTCAAAGCTACCACCCAGTGAGATGATACAAAAAAATTGGAGCTTTCCGAATGGTCTCTAGGATAACACTGGCATGCTTCCTAGACACAGCTTCTCAAGCCTTGTATTGATACCCATAGCCAAGAGTACTTGAGACTTTGTGTGTGGCCCTGGTTTCAATGACCACTGAATTTATGGTACTATCTCTGGGCATGCACAGGCCTATGTGCAGCACTGGCTACTAGCCTAGGCTCTCAAGGACTTCCTGGGACCTCCATCAGTGTCATCCTCCCAGGCTGCCACATCTGAAGGATTTCTGCATATGTGGGTTGAGCCTGCAAGCTTCCAAAGCATTTTCAACAGAGATTTCCCAGTGGAAGCCTGTAGCAGCAATTCTGCTCAAACAACTGTTTCCTGATTGGTAAGGTATCAATTTAACTTTTATATTAGCAGGATACTATAAGGAATGTTTGTGTGAATAAACCAAGCATATTTAAAAGATAAATCTGTGTAGATATGAGTATAGCTGAGTGCTCCACAGCTCATTGGCCATGCTCACTGCAACAATGGAGAATAACAATGATCACATTCCATCCCATTAAGTACTCTTCATTAATAAGATATGGCAAGCCTGTAAGCATTTCACTAACTGATCTTATTTATGTATTTGAATTCCCTTTTTCCCCACTTGATCCTGCCTGGTTCATGCCTTGTCTTCTAAGTACGTACAACTACTAGCTTCTCTCTTTCTAGAGTGAGCTAGAATGAGAAAATGCACCTCCAAACTGTCACTGGATGCCTTACAGTTTGTATAGAATAAATACCTTATTTCTTTCCTGGTCTTTGGGACACTTGATACCACCTTAAATAACCTTTCTCAGATTCCCTTAAGAAACCTCATTTATGGCTAAATCTTGAGCACTAAAACTGTGTGTCTACAGGCTGGAGGTCACCTTCCTGGGCTGCCATAGTACCTGTTCTCCCAGCTGTGTTTTCACCAGCAGCTCCAGTGGTGGCTGTATCTGCCCTGCCCCTTGTTCCTGAGGGAAGAAGGGTGCTTCACGCATTCAGGGAGCTACACCAAAAACACTCCAGGCAAGGTCTAACCTTCACTCCTGTCACTACTGCCTACATTTTGTCCTACATGAGATACTAGCAGAGTCTCTCATTACAATACTCTGACGTGTTAGCAAAGCTTGTTCTGACCCCACAGCTCCACTATGGACCTCTAAGGAGACCTAGCCTTGCTTGTTGGGTCTGGAGTGCTAGTGGCCTCAGTAGCTGATGCTCTAGGGGTATTACTCCTGCCTAATCCTAAGGTTGGCCTCATAGATTCTTCCCTTGTCCTTACTAAATAGGACAGAAATGGTTTAACATTTGATAGCTTTTCTCAAGTGTGAGATGATAGATTCAAGTCAGGTTTTCATCACTTGGAATCTTCTAATAATTTATCCAACGGCCAATTTTTGGTGATTTTGTACCCACTTAATAGGCACCCACTAACAATGTGCATGTTCTGACTCACCAGTGTTTCCTGGGCTTGTGACTCTCGTACTTGGTCCCCTGGTTGTGCTGCCTTTCTCACTGCTAGATGTGGGTACAGAAGTGCTGGCCGTTCCCCCTGATGAAAATCACACGATGCTCAAGATACCAGTTAGTTCATTTTGCTTTATGAAAACCCACCAGCATTATTCTCTTTTCGTTTATCTTGAAGTTTAAGTGACTTGATCCTGGTAACCCAGTTGGTTTACAGATGATCCACAAGCCATACTCAGACTTTCTACTGCATCTACTCCTTCTCAGACAGTCTGTGCCCAAAGACAAATACTAGAAAATTACCAATCTGGTTCCCTACATTGATAATTTAAAAGTTGCTGAACTAGATAACTGAAATTTAAAAAAAAAAACTAAAATCATATTCAACATAAACCTTTATTCTGTAGAAATATCATCATTTCAGATTTCTTTGTATCTAAATATTTATTCTATTTTGATTATTCTCACATCATGCAGCCATTGCAAACACTTCTGAATGCTGTCTACTACCAGAGGCATAAATTACGGGAGAGCACTCCGTATGCTGACTCATAACCAAATGGCATAGCCAACTGACTAGTCATTCTCACCCAAGTATTTCTTTACCTTTAAAAGCTGTTAGAAGAATTGAAGAATTTTAAGTAGCAGAGCAGCATGATGGGAAATTCATTTGGGGTTGGTTTTACAGGTAAGTGTGAACTGGGAGTGAACTCAGGAAAGAGAGGTGGCAGAGCAATTGGCTCTTCTTGGTGGGCATCAACTACTTAAAACTACTGATTGAATGAGGGTCCCGGGGAACTGAAAACTTTGCTCATAATAAAAAATACCTGTGCTTAAAGTATAGCAGTATCTTATTCATAAAAGCTAGAAATCTAGTTCAGATTTAGTCAATAATGTACAAGGGCAAGAATGTCCTCTTTGGCTTTTATCGCTTATGAGATCTTTCACAGAGATCACAAAACCCAGTTCTTTACACATGAGGTTAGGGATTCTATATTCCAATCTGTCTTTGCCAGTTTGGATACCTCTATTACATTCTCATCTCAATGGCATAGGAATACTGTGGAGTTTATGGCTATTAAGAGCAATTATGTATTTATGAATATTAGAAACTATACTATGGGGTAGAAAGCACCATTTATATAGTTTGAATATGATTTGGGTATTCTTAGTGGTTTATGTTTTGGAGACTGGTTCTCCAAAGTGGCAGTACTAGGACTTGATAGAGTGGAACCTAACAAGAAGGCAATATTATTGGTCCTAATGAAGAGACCTCTGTAAAAGACTCAGCCTGGTTCCGTGCAGGACTCCATCTGGATATGGATGCAATCACTTACATCCATGTGTGCTTCCAGCCACCACCCATGACATGTATCCCAAATGGGCTGTCACTAGAACAGAGCCCTAGAACCACACAACTGCCAACCAAATTTAGCTAAACTAATCACTAACATGTCAGCATATAAGAATCTTGGACTCTTCCCAGTATTCCAGGTGACTTAGCCAAGGCACCAGGCACTCATTATCTTGCATTCTCCACAGGGTAAACTTGGAGTTGAGCAGAAATAGAGGGATACTTGTGTAACATGTTACTAAGCAGAGCTTTGGAGGTTCATAACACACCCATTGAGAAGACTGGGTCAAATGTACTTTCATTTTTAGCTTCTGTGGTTATATCTTGAGAACTGGTTGACACTGACAAAGATTTAAGAGAAAATCAATAATCCAGGCTAAAAAGGAGCTTTGTAGCTCCCACCCACCAGAGAGTAGATGTATGTAATTGTAACATAATATACATAAATAAATTGTTGAAAGGCTAAAATACATGGAAAAATCACTCAAGTCTGATGATTATACGTGAAAATTATTATCTGGGCAGCATGTCTGAAATCAGTTCCTTGGCTGGACCAAGGTTCTTTGTTCTGCATTAGTATACCTGTTGTGAGCACAGAACCGGTGACGCTTGAGCTTGGGGCTGCTGTCGAGCCTGTGCTTCCAGCCGTGGAGACAGCAGGAGCTGAGGTCCCAGTAGAGCCTGAGAAAAGAGGTGAGGACTTTCTCATCTAATGTCTACACTGGACTTCGTCACCAAAGAGCAAGCTGACTATCTTTCCACTATAAAATAAAATAGAATAAATAAATGTAATAATTCCTAATCATACTTCCCTACAAACTGCTTGTAACACTTTAGTATTCTCTTTCAAAAAACTTGCTTGACTTAGTTCCCCCTTTGGGGGAGGGAGTTGTTGTTGTTGCTTTTGCAAAGACATTTTCTGGCGACTTTATCGAGTCACACTACTTCTTAGTGTTAAGAGCCAGCTGACTCCATCTTTCTGCCTTTTCCTAGTTGAATATCATGTTAGTCCCTGATCATGTTCCAAGCTGAAAGTCAACTTGTTTTTTGACTTGTTTTTCCTCTATAGCCTTGTGATTTACATCATCAATTGTTTTCATTGTTTCATGATATACTTTGAGCACTGACTAACCATAAAATGTTTCATGGCATGTTCTGTTAACTATCTGACCATAAACCTATAACGTGTACATTTCCCATGAACATAAAAATAATTGCAAAATTCCATTTTGTAATCACTTGTTTGCCTGCTATAAAGAGGCTACTCTGCCTTTAGTCTTTGATGCGTCATTCTTCTATGGGAGACAGAAACTTTGGCCAAGCCATAAGTAAATTTTTACCTTGCAGCATATACATTCTAAGATATATATGTATATAGAGCCAAATAAATAAGTATATAGATAGATACATACATACATACATATATACATACATACATACATACATACATATATGTGTATTTGGAAATATATATGGGATGTTTATACATGATTTCTGAGAAAACAATAAACTCTTGCATATTGATTTAAGTTTTAAAGTTTTTTCAGTATTTCTGAAAACCTTCCTCTATTCTCAGGCTATTCGCTGCATGCCTTGGATCTCGGCTCTAAAGGGGCAGAGGAAGAAGACTCGTGAGGACTCTGTCTCAAAAAAACTGCACGGTGATGAAAATCCTGCATCCATTTTTACATCAGACTAATTTGATCCAATTCTTGATCAAAAGGTCGCTTGTCAGGAAACAAGTGTTGAAGTAAAATCTGGCTTGCCAGACTCTACATCTAAGTATTTCAGCCAATGTACACTACATTTACAACAAACTACAACTAATAATAAATTCTTATTTATGTTTTTTTTGTTTCTATTTCCTTCTATCTCCTTCTCCTACCTCTGTGTGAATGTGTGTATGCACATGTATGCGCGTGCATGCGTGTGTGTGTGTGTGTGTGTGTGTGTGTGTGTGTGTGTCCGCGCGTGCGCGCTGCTATGCAGGGATATGTGTGTCCTGTGGAGGTCAAAGGACAACCTGCAGGAGTAGGTTCTACCATCTACCATGGGGGGCCTGGGACTGAACTCTGTTCATCACGATTGGCAGCTAGCTCTCTGATCTGTTGAGCCATCCAGCTGGCCTCTTGAGTGCCTATTTTAAATTTTAAAAACTAAGATCCATTTTTCATATCACATAGAAGAAAACATACCACTAGAAGACATAAAAGCATCCATTATGTAGTTATTCTTCACAGTTCACCAAATGGCATTCCACTTGTCAACACTCAATGTCAGTAAGAGAAATGAGACGTGTCTCCAAGCCTACTATTTGTGCAAGGCCGTCACTCTACAAGAGTCCACACTTCTCTTTTCAGTATTCCCAAAATTTATGTTACTTGGCAAGACACTCATTAAGTGAATTTAGAAGAAAAAATGTTTAAAAAATTTGTGTTGGTGGGCCTTAGAGGAAAATGCTTCATTTTTATATGTATCATGAGCAATAAAATAATAGTAGATACCATTTGTCGTTCACATTTCAAAATAAAGAAATCAGTATTGCAGACAGCATACTTTGAGATTCTCACCTTTGAGTGATTATTACAGCTCCTCAGGCAAATGGGCATTGGCCTGTTATTTCTTACACTTATTCAGTGTCGTGTTCTGCTGAACAGTCTGAACCCAGTCCAAGGTGCTCATGTCACCATCCAGTGCCCACATTACCAGCAGAGCCTGATCTGTGGCTGCTTTGTTACCGGCATCAACAATGATAAATGAGTGGTATTATCCACACCTCAAGTTCATTATTAGTTCAATGGTTTTGAAAGTCTCATCCTTTGAGTGTGATATGAGCAAAGTTACAGAAAGGATATGGAATTGTAGATGAGGACCTAGACCATCCATCATCTTACCATTGTCATTTAAAATCAGTTTGTCTGGGAGGTAATTTATTCTTGCAACAGAACAAGCTGCAGAAACATTAAGAAATGTTGAAAGACACAAATCACCTGACAATTTGATATTCACTTTATATACAAAGGAGTTACTTAGCAAATTTAAAATGCCCACGTAACTCGTAGCACCATGGAACAATTTTAAAATGAAAAAAAAAAAAAACTATTTCGCTTTTGTCTCCTGATTTTAGAACATCAACTATAACTTCTGGCTCTATGGATGGTAAGAAACAACCTCAAAAAGGACCCTGACACCTGTCTGTGTGAAGTCCCAGATGTCTTTACAGCCTGCGCTTCAAAACCTTGGGAACATTATTAAAGGGCTTTTTATCCCCTCACATGTATTGTCAAGCAGGGAAGGGTATGTGGGGAACAACAGTCCTTCATCAGAAGGTGTGAGGCTGCCTGAGACAGGGAAGGGAAGGCACTGACCGCACAGACCACAGCAAATCCACGTCATTAACTGATCTCTCAATGCCACACTAATGAAGCACTCAGCACAGCGGTTCTCAATCTTCCTAAGGCTGCGACATTTTAATAGAGTTCCTCGTGCTCTGGTGACCCCCAACCATAAAACTGTTTTTGCTGTTACATTATAACTGCAAATGTGCTACCATTATGAATTGTAGTGTAAGTATCTGTGTTCTCCAATGGCCTTACGCGACTCCTGTAAGAGAGTGATTCAATCTCCAAAGCTGTGACGACCCACACAGGTTAAGAACCATTGACTTAGCAAGTTACTAATACTGTACATTACAAAACAACCACTGGAATTTCAGCAAAACTAAATAAAACACAAGGATTCTTCGAGACAAAACAAAAAGCATCACCAATAGTGCACTGAATGAAGTCAGTGGGAAAGTTCTAAGCAACCTTCCCTCCAACTCAGCTCCACACTCAAGTTCGCATTTGTAAAGTTATAGAATGAAGACGAAAAAATTGTCATAGGTTTACAGAGACACAATTTATCAGCTGCCTACAAAAACCCTTCTCTTTCAAAACTCTGGATAGTCTGTGTCAATGCAAAATTTGGACAAACTAGAACTGAAGATCTGCTCAAAACTGAGTACCAGGAGAAGAAACATGAGATGGTGGTGACAGTGTACAGCCATTCTATACCAGAGCCTACGACAGTTACCTCCACTGCTAAGCACACTTGCGGACCTCTGGGATGAAAGCACACATGGAAACCATATTTAAACAGTCACAAGACTCAAAGTTTTAATAGGTAATTAACTAAATGGAATATTGGAACTGAACCAATTTGCTCATCTCAGAAACAAAGCTAAGCTGGGTGTTAGACATGTGGTTCATTGCTCAGAGCCCAGTTAAGGCTGAGCAGAGATTATTCTGTAATAAACATGAACCCATGCAGAAAACCCACTGGTTAAAATTGCAAATTGGCCTGGTGACATGAATTGATAAGTACACAATGGTGAAAAACATCTTGAAATGAGCCAGGCTTCCTAAGATTTCTATCTCTTGGTATTGCTCACGATAATCCAACAGAATATGAAGTTGGCAAGAATAACTATGTGGTTCTAGTTTCAATAATATCATAGCCATTTTAACATTTATTATTAATTTAGGGGGTACATGCTACATCACACTTATGAACATCAGGGGACAACCTGCAGTAGTTGGCTCTTTCCTTCTACCACGTGGATACCAGGGATTAACCTCAGGTCTTCAGGCTTGGTGCCAACCCCTTTACCAGATGAGCTATCTTGCTGGTCTGATCGCTGATACTTTGATATAGGTAATTGCTTTAAATTTTCTTTGCCCAACACTTACTGGTTTGTATATATAAGATAATGATTACCAAATAAATAACACTAAGCATTATAAGATGTTTTAAATTATATTAATAATTCTACACTATATGACATTATCATCTAAAAATCAGCTTGGAATTACATATTTTTATTTTACAGAGGAAGATTATCTTCAAAAAACAAAACATGTGAGCTCAAAGATTTATTAGCTTAAATGATATTCAAACACTAAGCCAACTACCACAAGAAACTCTGCCAAATTGTGAAAGCTGAGTTACTAATTTTCTGTTTTAAAATAAAAAAATTATAGTTATAAGTTTTCAACATGCTAGGTTATCCATTTATCATTAGAAAATTTGCCAGATTCAGTTGCATAGCTTGACACTAGATGTAGTTGAGAATACTAGAATGGAAAACCAGCACATGTAGCTTCAGAAGCATGCTCTTTTCAGAACAGAGAAATTAATAATTCACAGAGGAAAAAGAAGTCAAACAGGCTGGTGGAGGGAAGCCCTGATCACGGGAAAGTAGATGTTTCAGAAATAGTGTAGATTTGAAAGGGCAAGTCCCTTTATGATTTTGTTAACATTATATGTGTGGATGTGGGCATAAAAGTGTAAAGTCATAATGATGTATTGGTTAACCACTTTTCCTCAAACACTTTTTTTTCTCATATTTTCATTTGTCTAAGGTATTGAAGCCTACTCAGTGATTGTTAACTTTAAGTGGCTAAACTAGGAACACTGAACGGGAGAATTCAGACCTTAGTAGTTCAAACATTCAATCAAACCAATGTTTATATTATATATAAGTTATCCTAGGTTTATACCTGAAAAGTCTTTTGATTTATATAAAAACTTATTGGTACTTTTATAAAGTTTCTGATTTATCTACCTATTGCTTTGGTGCTTGATATTATAATTGCTGGAATGGATGCTGCTGAACTTGAGAAATCAATTGAAAAAAATAACAGTATGGAGGAATATTATACTTCTGAGAACAGCTATGATTGTCCACAAAACAGATGAACTCAAAATTAATGTTTCTGAAAACTTCTCCCATAAAGGCAAAGTGAAATGTAGGAACAAAGTTCTAACAATTATAAATCACAAATAAAGTCAGAAAACTGTGTGTGATTTTTTTCTCCCCCAAAACCCTTTTCTAACACATTTTTTTTTTCAAAGACAGAACTTTGGAAAGAAAGGCTGCTGGGTCTGAAGTCCCCTGCGGGCAAAGGCTTACCTGCACTTGAGCTGCTGGCCACCGATGTCACTGCTATACAGAGGAGACAAATGTTTTGGAATTGTAGGTTAAAATTGCATCAACACACAAAGCTTAAAAAGTATTCATCTAGATAAGGTTTCCAAAAATGTACATCAGTTAACTAAATTGCATCACTCAGCCTCATTCGTCAGATTCTTACTCATTTCAGTATATTTTTGTAATCTACCACCTATGGCTTTAACTTAACCCATGAAACTTGAGTGAAAATTTTAACATAGAATTTGTTAGCATAGTGGCTACTTCCTAGCCAACAACACACAAAATGTTCTCTTAGGGAAGATAACCATAGGAACCATGCTCTTTGCCCACAGTTCAACCAGATGAAAGCCCTGATACTTAGCATAAACATTTAGGGAAATAATAAATGAAGACTGACAGACTGGAGACAGGGCCCACATGCCTGAACTTCATATTCACTTTGCTATCAATGTACAAACTACAAACGATACAGAACATTTTGTTTTTATTTACCTGTTGAAGTGCTTAATGCGGATGTGGCTGTGGTCATAGAAACTGTTTGGGGAAATAGTATTAAGGAAAACGAATTAGTTGAGGGATCTTTGTTAGGACATTTCATTCATGAAATATGCTATCTACAACTAAAATTGAAATTATCTGTGGAAATCAAGTGACAAAACACTTTTGTATATAAATCAGTTTAAATAGTACTACATATTATATGTCCAAACAACAACTAATTATTTTCTGTCATGATCAGTTAGTTGAATTCCCCAGGAATTTTACAAGGACCAAGAAATGCATTTCAGGAATGTGATGTCTGGTAACTCAGTCTCAGGAAAGTAGGCAGTAGTAACTGTAGTATCAACAGCACTTAGACAAGGCCATCTAATGTTAAGTTTATCACCAGAGTCTAAGGCTCCCAACCGCTTATTCGTTGTAACCTGCAAAGAATAGTCAACAGGCAATAAAATCCCTTCTAAACCACATAAGGGAGAAGTATGCTGGAGCAACCCCCAGTGAGTTTAAACTGTCTGGAAATTCAATGTTTCCAAACCAACGTAAGCTAATTTGCCCAGAATTCGCTCAGATGAATATAATTAAATGCCTCTACCAAACAATATAAAGGCATGATTTAAGAATAATTAACTGTTTCCATTTTCAAATCATCTCTAAGTGTGATCATAATTTTCAAATATTTACATCATTAAGATAACACATTTATTTCATTCTACCACTTATTTAATTATCACCTAAAAATGTCAGACTCTGGGTGATGATATTTAATTAAGTAGCGTGGAATATTTATGGCATGTTGTAATCACTTTCCTGACTTAATTTATAGAAATATGATAAAATAATATTCTTGTTATTTTCTAGTAACGTTTTTAGTTTTACATTTATATCATCGGATTTGCCAACAATTTTTTTTTTTACTGGCACAAAATTGTATAGAACTATAAATAAAGGATATTGACACAAAGATCAATTACATATTTGAAACAGAATTGTAACTTTACCTGTTGGTGTTGAATTTGTGGGCAGGGTCTCTGAAATGAACACAGGTGGCTATTATTGGCAGTAATTGAAAGTGATGACAAAACACTACATCTTAAGTCATTCAGAAGCCACGTGCCTTTTGTTTTATGTCTTATAGTTCTTAATACAAAGCAGGAATATTTCTTGAGTTCTTTTGAAACTCATTGAAGTTTTGTTTGCTTTGTTAAGGTTCTGGATAATGAACCTAGGAGTTTGCTCTGTACTTAGCAGGACAAGCACTCTATCACTGAGCCACATCCCAAGTCCAGGACTCATTGGTAACATACGTGTTTCTCATGTGTCCCAAAACCCCTTATATCCTATCAATGTTGCTTCTGCACCAGCCCTTCCTTAAATTACCTTGACTGATGCCTCTTATTATCTTAACTCCCTAAGTGTACAGATGTCAGGGCGTGCATGCAGCATGGAAAACACTCATGAGCATCAAGTGTCAGGGCATGCAGCATGGAAAACACTCATGAGCATCAAGTGTCAGGGCATGCAAGCAGTATGGAAAACACTCATGAGCATCAAGTGTCAGGGCATGCATGCAGTATGGAAAAAGTATGGAAAACACTCATGAGTATCAGATGTCAGGGCACACATGGAGTAAGAAAACCACTCAGGAGTACCAAATGTCAGGGTTTGCATGCAGTAGAGAAAACACAATTGTTAGCCACCACTGCCCTGGTGCCGAGGAGTGATTCTCTATGAACAACCACACAGGTTGGAATGGTGGCAGTCCCATACAGGCAGTCAAAAGTGTGGCTATGTACTTCTGTTTTGTTGATGGTCTACAGAGGACCCCATGTCCCTTATCTCACCATTCCCAAATGAACTGGAGTAAAGGGAGTCCTTACCACTGCACTCCAACTCGCCAGCCGTACAATAGCTGAAAGTCAAATAGGAAAAGGAAAAGAATGACTCGGAATTCGACCCCCAGTAAACACACACTTCATACATTTAGGACAACAAATTGTCAAGTGGTGAAAACGAAACAGAACCAAGAGAAGAGCACTAACAGCAACCCCCACCCCCATCACCCACCATCACGTGGAACACACTGAGTTCAGTTGCTTGTGTGTTTGACGGGCTGTTATTCCTGCTCATTTCACCACAGAGTTTGTGGAACTATGGAATGATTTACGGTCCAGCAGCGAAGTTAGTTTTAAAATTACCTACCTTAACTTCATTCCTTAATGAGCATGCTTCAAATACAATCTCGGCATGACTCCATATTCGACAGCCTGTATATGTCTTTCTTCTAAACTACAGAGTGACTTTTCCTGCTCTCTTTTCATCAGATTTAAAGACTTTATAAACCATTTGGTTGTGATTATTTTTTAAATACAAGGTAACTACTATCACAGACGAACTGCTCACTGGAAAGTAGCCGAGAACATACCATGTTCTTCCACAGTCATCTACAACAGCTCCCCCTGCTGGTATGACATCATTGTAGAAGCAGCTGCACTCAGATAACTGGACACATTTCATCGTGTTCTCATCCAGATAGGGTGCATTTTCTGGACATTTGGCATAACAGCCTGCAAGGAACAATATCCCACAGTTCATCTGCATTTACCAAAACTCGTCATACTTCATCGTATGTTTCTGACAGTGATTCTGTGAGCTGAACTGGGGGGTAGCAAAGCAACACTCTTACGGAAATATAAGGAGAATGGGACTGAGGTGGACACCAACCTAAGTTATAAATTTATTATATATATATATTTTTTTCTTCCGAAGTATATTCTGGTTAAAAGTATATCCAAGTTTTGCTGAATGGTTTGCTACTTTAATGGTGTGCATGTAAGCATAAAGCAGGCTTTGGTTAGATCTGTCTGTTAACTGTGAATGACACTTCCAAATATCTATTTTTCCAAGAGAGGGAAGACACAGGAGTTACACCAAAACATTCCAGTGTTTGACATGGAGATGGTGTTATGTCATTTTTTTTCCTGCCACATCTTTCTTTCTAGGAGGTATAGTCCTAAGAATAAAGTACTGTTCAAGTGTGGGACACAGATGGCCAGCCTAACCTCAAACTCCATCCTTTTACAAGTTGCTTTTTTTAAACTGCTTTTTCCTGCATGTGCATCATCCCACAGCAAGTATAAAGACTGAATGCAGGGCTGCAGCACCATCATCCTCCCCAGAAAGGATGACTGCATCTAAATAAAAGGTACTATAGACTATGGCTAACATAAAAAAAATCAATCCGCTCAATCATAAAGATCAGACAGTGAATCTGGAGAAACAAATATTCTTTAGTTTTAAAGGCAGCGTCATTTTCACAACCCTTCAGGTGTGTCTTACCTTCCAAAAGTGAAGAAAACTTCTGGCCAATGACCTGGTCTTTGCATGTTTTGGCCGTCACCGTGCCACAAGGTTCATAGTGCCAGCTGCATTCCCCAGGGGCATTGTAGTAGTCACAGTACACGGCTGTGGTAGAATTGCAGCAGATTACTTCCGTTCCCTAGTACAGCAATTCTCACCTTTCAATCCCTTTTTTAAAGGCATCCTACATGTTCCTAATGGCAGACCTAAATATGTGTCATCCACATTATCAAGTTCCTTTTGCTTTATCTAAATTGTTATATAGGCTAACACACCACACACACACACACACACACACACACACACACCCACACACACACAAAGGGGAAAGCTTACAGACTTAGCTAACTCTTTCCTTTCACAACTCAGTTGGAGATATTTTAAGCCTCATCTAGACCAGTGGCTCTCAACTTTCTTAAGGTTGCAACCCTTTAATACAGTTCCTCATGTTGTGGTGACCCCAATAATAAAATTATTTTTACTTCATGTAATTTTACTACTGTTAGAAATTGTAATGTAAATGTCTGTGTTTTCCAATGGTCTTAGGTGATCCTGTGAAAGGGTCATTTCACCCCCCCAAAGGAGTCGTGACCCACAGGTTGAGAACTGCTGGTCTAGATTTCTGGTTTCAATGTTCAAGCTGAAGTTGGAAAAACAAATATGAAAACAGTGATAACAACAACAACAGAAAAGGAGCTGATGGACATGGTGGCTCACTCCTATAATACAACCACTGAATTAGCTTGGCCAGGAGAATTGCTACAAGGCCAAGGCCAGCCTGGGCTACATAGTGAGTTCTGGGGCAACCGGAGCTACAGTGTCTCACAAAGAGTGTGAGAAAATTAGTGATATGTAGTAGTCTTCAAATAAAGTAATTGAAGAGGTTACTATATCACTAAACATTGTAAGTGGAATGCAATGTTTACCCTGTCAATGCTTCTTTCTATTTAACATATCTCCAGTCATGCCTTGCCTACAAGGGGAAAAGGCTGGCTTATTTCTACTATGGTTATGTGACTCTGTGTGTAGAGTTTCATTCTATATTCAAGTTTATATTCAATAAGGTTCTATGTCAAGAAAACAACAAAAGAGGATTTCAACCAAGAGTAATATGAGGCCAATGCCTAGGGCACAAGAATACCCAGACTCATTTATCTAGTGTAAGAAGATGCATTTTTCACCAATGTTCAATATATTTCCTCTACAAACAAAAGCATTTTTTCCTAACTAAAATTGAACACAAAATATTATACCTTGAGCTATTTCTGTTGGGTATTTTAACCATCATAAATAAATACATTAAGATGATTTCAGCCCTCTCTAGGTTTGAGAATATGTGTTTTATAGGAAAATCTGAGAGGAAGATCAATTGTTTAAGAAAACAGCTTTGTCTAACTACAATTTTTAGAAAACCATTAACATCCAGACTTCACTTACGACAAAGGTTTGGCTTTCTCCACGAGACACAGACTCCGGCTGCATTGCATGCCTCTGCATACATTGCCACAGCAGTACAGAAGCCAAGGTACTTCCCCTCCATGTCACATGCACAGGCTTCTTCGATACATGCATTGTAGTATGCCGTGGGGTCCACCTAGACAGAACACAACACATGAGTGTCTGGGAAGGACCCAGGCAAGCAGTGGTACTCAGAACAGTGCTACCTTGCTGTGGCAGTCCCTGAAGGTGTCATCCCTGATGATCTCACACTTCTTCTCAGCCCAGGCTTTGCAGTATGGGTTCGAGTCACATGGGAAGCTTTGAGTGACTGTATCTGAACACTCTTGACTTGTTTTCCAACTGTTTCCAAATTCCAGGGCTGTGGTAGTTACCAAAGAGTGTCTTGTTGTGAAGTCATCCTTAAGATCACCATTGTTATTTCCACAAAGACCGCACACTTTGCTCTGTGTTGATCAAAGAGGCAAAAATCACAGTAGAAGATCATTAACATGATCAAGTCACCTCCATCCCAGCAATGCAGACATGAAGCAATGCATGACAGTCAATAAATATAACATGTTAAATTGTGGACACAAAGACAATTCACATGATCATCTCAATAGATGCAGAAAAGGCTTTTGACAAAACCCAACATTCCTTTATGATAAAAGCCCTCAAAATACCAGAAATAGAAGAAATTTATCCCCAAATAACAAATACTATATTTTATGAACCTACGGCCATCATAATAAATGGGGGAAACTGAATGCATTTTCAATGTTGTCAGGGACAAGACACGTGTGTGCACTTTCTCCATTATTATTTAATACAATCTTTGAAGTCTTAGCTAGAGCAGTAAGAGAAAGAAGAGAAGAAAATTAAAAGGATACAAATAGGAAAGGAAGAAGTCAAAGTATCTTTGTTTGCAGATGAAATGATTCCATACCTAGAAACTTTGCCAGAAAAAAAAAACCCTCATAAACACATTTAATAGTGTGGCAAAATACAAAATTAATGTGAAAAATCAGAAGTCTTCCTTTGTGATAATTGTCCTAGTCAGTGTTACTATTGTTGTGATGAAACACATGACTAAAAGCAACTTGGGGAGGAAAGGGTTTATTTGGTTTACACTTCCACATCACTGTTTATTATCAAAGGAAGTCAGGACAGGAACTCAAGCAGGGCAGGAACCTGGAGGCAGGAGCTGATGTAGAGGCTGTGAAGGGGTGCTGCTTACTGGCTTTCTCCTCATGGCTTGCTCAGTCTGCTTTCTTATAGAACTTGAGACCACCAGCTTAAGGGTCGCCCCACCAACAGCAGGCTGGGACATTCCTCATCAATCACTGATTAAGAAAGTGTCTTACAGGCTTACCAGTAGCTGGATCATATTATGGAGGCATTTTCTCAATTGAAGTTCCCCTCCAATGACTCTAGCTTGTGTCAAGTTGACATAAAACTAGCTGCCACACTAACAAACATTGAGAAACAAATTTGAAGGGAAAAAAAAGACAAAATAAACCTAAGCAAGGATATAAAAGACCTCCCTCTACAATGAAAACTTTAAAACAGAGAAACCAGAAGAAAGTGAGAGTTTAGACAGTGGAAGGACTCCCTGTACTTATGGATTGGAAGAATTAACATTGTGAAAATGGCCATCCTACCAAAAGTAATCTGCTGATCCAATGTAATCCTAATAAACATTTTAATAGCATTCTTAAAATAAATAGAAAAATCACTCATATGGAAGCACAGGACACTCAGGGTAGCCAAGATAACCATGAATCAAAATAGCATGATGCTTGGGGTAGGGAGTGGGGAATCACCATATCTGGTTCCAAGTTATATAACAGAACCATATCAATAAAAAACAATGTGGTCCTGGCAGAAAAACAGATATGTGAATCAATGGAAGAGAGGACCCAGAAATAAAGCTACACAGCTGATTCAAGGTTGCCAGCACCCTCTCCAACAAATGGTGCCAGCAAAACTGCTAGCTCCTTATAGTAACTAATACGGCAGCCATCAAAGAATGCAGATCAGAACAACATTGAGATCCAACTCCCCCCAGTCAAAATCATAGTTATCAGGAAGACAGGGGACAACAAATGCTGAAGAGCATGGGTGGAAAGGGACAGCACACAGCGCTGGGGGAATGTCAACTAGATCAGCCACTACGGAAAACAGCTTGGAGGTCCGTCAAAAAACTAGGAACAGACCTTCCACATGCCTCAGCCATCCAGAGGTAATTTCACACCAATGTTTATTAAAACACCACTCACAACAGCTAAGTAATGGAGTCAATATAAGTTGACTCCAGAGGAATAGATGAAGAAAATGTGCCTCATATACTCAACGGAAATGTTCAGTCATAATGAGAAATAAATAACTTCCCTTCCTGGAGAATGGAGGCAACTGGAGATAATAAAGTTACAATCACAGATTAATCTGTGATAAACACTGATCAAAACCAACTTGAGGGGGGAAATGTTTATCACTGAAGGAAGCCAAGGTAGAAACTCAAAGCAGGAACCTAGAGCAGAAACTGAAGCAGAGGCCACAGGGAAAGACTACTTGCTGCCTTGTGTCCTTGGAATTGCTTAGCTTTGTTGAGTATTTAGCCCAGGCCCAGCTGCCCAGGGATAGCACCACCACATCAGGCTGGGCCTTTCCTATATCAATTAGCAATTAAGAAAATGCTTCACAGACATACCACAAGCCTATCTGCTGGTGGCAATTCCTCACCCAAAGTTCTCTCTTCCAAAGCAACTTTAGTTTGTATGAAATTGACACAAATTAAAGAGCACCCAGAGCTAAGTCAGTCTCAGGAAGACATGCCACACGCTTTCTTTCAATTGTAGATCCCAGATAGTATTGGTATGAGAGCATTGCATTTACCAATGTGTGAAAGTGCAAGTGAAACCATCTAGGAGACAGTGGGGGCGAATGAGAGGCAGTAGGGTTGAGAAGAGGAAAGCTAATAGGACAGAAGGGAGACTGTTCAAACACATTATCTATGTGCATGAAAAGGACCTTATACAACCCTGTATGAAAATAACAAAAATCAGTTGTATCTACTACAGAGTTGAAAATATAGATAAAACAAAGAGATAGGTGGCAGATAGAGGATAGATAGATGATAGATAGATAGATAGATAGATAGATAGATAGATAGATAGATAGATAGATAGATAATAGATAGATAGCCCTAAACATCACAATTACAAACACTGAATCATAGTGAATTCTAATTTTCAGAAGAATCAGAATGTGTGAGTAAAATTCTCCCATTTAGTTTAAGCCATCCTATATTATAAAATGATCTAGTATCAAGCATAATAAATATTTTTTGGGGGAGTGTTTTTCTATTACATAGTCCTGGCTGTCCTGGAACTCACTATGTAGACCAGGCTGGCCTCAAATTCACAGAGCTCCACCAGCCTTTGCCTCTTGAGTGCTGGGATTAAAGGCATGTGCCATCACACCTGGCATAATAAATGATTTAAGAATGAAGAATAATTATATTTGTGATTTTAAGGTAATTATGTATGCATATACTCATAGTTTTAGAATACCTACTGCTTGAAATATACTTAATGTAAAATATAAATTACCTTAAAATCATATCATGTGATAATCTCAAGAAAGTAGATACAGTTAAACTAGACTGTTTCCAGACTCCTATCAGATTTGGTTATTTTATTATATTTAATGATAACTAAAAAGAAGTAAGTAGGCTTATTATAGTAACTGAGCCCCTAACCTGTTTCTAAATGTCAATTTCCCCAGATTGTGAAAGATACACATACCTGCCACTTTGGGTCCAAAATAACAGATACTTTTGTATATTTATCCCAAATCAAGATGATTCCATTCGCAAGTTTCACAATCAGGTAGAGGCCAACAGTGTGGATGGAGTACAGGGTCCCATCGCGCTCACAATCCGTATTTTCAGTAGTTTGAACTGCTGTTACTTTACCATCTTGTAAGACAATGTTTTGATCCTGTAAATTAAAAGGAAGATTTTACAAAGAGCCCTTTCAGTTAGAAAATTCATAATCTGGGAGAAAATTCAAGCAAAGAGGAGTCATATCACACCTGGAAAGCCACGACGACTTTTCTGGAGCAGGTGAGCCCGTTTTCACAGCATGGGACACTCTCAGTTAAAATGCGGAATGTGCCATTTTCTTGGCCACAGTAATCCTATTAAAGGTAAATTATAATAGTTTATTAGTGTTAGGAACATAAACTTCAATATCTACAGATGATTTCTTAAATGAAATACATCATATGTTGTGGTGAAAAATTCCTAAAATGCAGGAGGTTTGGCTGTATTTGTGGCTAGGCATCCTGCAGAGTTTACTCTAATTAGCCTATTTTAATACAAACCTAATTCCATTGCTTCCACACAAGTCCAGGTTTTACTGTAGATGTCTATGTATTTATTTACATCATATAGAGGAATCATTAGTTTGTTTGGGGGTTCTTTAAATAGCTAAGGGTGGTTCTTTTTCTTCAGTCATTTATATAAATTTTGATAGGCAACCATAACTAATCTACAAATGAAAAACAACCAAAACTTTACCCACTAGATGATAACTTATCAAGGAGCTTAATTGCATCTAAAAAGCATAAACACTGAAATCACACATTTCATTCTTTATCAATGGCATCCTCTAGTTAGTAGTTTAAGCCGTTCAATTTACTTAAAGCTCCCCTTCTCTATCTGTATTATAGGAGCAATAACAGTTGTCTAGCATTATTACAATGATTTAAAAACAATACATTTTGTCAATTTCATAGGCAAGGAAGCACCTGTAAAATTCTAGTCACTATCTTTGCTGCTACAGCTAGGATCTCACATTCACTCATTAAGCACCTAGTGTGGGCTAAAATGTGTGCTCCCATTTGGATTCAAGCAGGGACTAACTTCATGCATATTTTATTGATGCAGAATCTTGGACTCTGAGACCTAAAGGAACATGGCTAGAGTCGTACATCTAATGGAGCTAAGCCAGAAGTCAGTAGAGCCACCCCAGCCAGCCAGCATCACACTGGAACACACTCCCCCTTCTAGAAACACATCAAAACTGTAAAAAAAAAAAATTGAAAATGAAATTCCCCTGTATTCATATGCATATGAAGAAAAATTATGAAGGACAGAAAAAAATTATTATAAAATATATACTTAATTACCTCAAGGAATGTATACTGGCAGAGCCCATCAAAGCTGTAACTTTCTCCATCAAAGGTTCTGACATGTCCTTCCCCATAGATGTGGCAAGTTGATTGACATTCATTTTGGGTACAGTTCCAAGACCCTTTTATGCAAGTACTGAAAAAAGAAAATCGAAGAGTGATAATTATTTTTGCCATGATTTATATATTTTATTGGTTTGTAAAAAAAATCATAAAATGTTTCTTGGCTTAAAGAAATTATAGGTATCCTCATTATATTCTCTAATGTTCATGTTATGTAATACTACACAAAGGGTTTTTTTGAAAAAAATACCATCTTTTGCTAATTTAAGTTGGCCATTATTCTTTCAAACAGCCCTAGGCATGCCTTTCTCATTCCCATAAAAATATAACAGTAAACTATCCATTTCTAAATATCTAAAACTAACAAATTGTAAATTCTTTGTTACATACCACTCATTGCAGCCAACCGAAGTAACACTTCCTTGTTCATATTCTCTGTCACCAAAAGAGCAGGGACAGTCATCAGGATGTATACATATCCCTTTAGAGTTACGGACCATTCCTACTGGACAGTAACACCCACGTTTGCAAGGCAAGTCTCCCTACAAGAAAACACACAGAACCGACACTCTGTCATCATGTTATGTTATCAGCATCAAGTTAAATGCATCAATATAGCCACTGGACATCTGGGGCACACATTTGACAAGTGAAACAGATCGTGTATATACGCAATGATGTAGCTATCTCTCTCAAAGATTGTGGCTTTTATTTACTGTGAAAATTTTAATGTTTTAAAAGGCTCCACTCTGATGTAATGTTACTCACCTCAAAATCAGGTATATTCCGGGTGCTACATGTCCTTTCAGTCCTTCTCTGTGCCTTGGGATCTTTGCAGTCTACATACTCAGCACCCCTGGAACAGTTTTCTGCAAGATAAAATAAAAAGTAATTGTTTATCAAGAGTTCCTGATCTGGTTTGGATTTATTAGCAGTTGCTTAGATAAGAAGGGGGAGTTCTATCACGGGCCTGTAACTCCAGCATTTGGGATGCTGAGGTAGAAGGATTGCCATCCTTTCAAGGCCAGCCTGGGTTGTTTTGTAAGAGTCTAGCAAGACAGGGAGAGAGAGAGACAGAGACAGACAGACAGAATGATTAGATAGATGATAGATAGAAAGATAGATAGATAGATAGATAGATAGATAGATAGATAGATAGATAGATAGATAGATAGAAAGAAAGAAAGAAAGAAAGAAAGAAAGATAGATAGATAGATAGATAGATAGATAGATAGATAGATAGATAGATAGATAGATAGATAGATAGATAGATAGATAGGAGGCAAAGAGGTGAGGCAAGAAGAGGATCAGAGGGAAAAGAAATGAAGGCATGGATGGGAAATCAAGCCAACAAGTACTAAAATAATAGCAATAGAAACCACTTACGTATGGTCAAATCAAGGGGAGTTTGGCAAAGAAGCAGTCCATCCTGGCAGACACTAGAAATAAAAGGAAACCATTTATTTTATCTCTTTAAACATTAAAGTTTAAGAGCAATTGGACAAATGTGACTCAGTTACAATAATATATATAAAATTATAAGGTGTAACCTTACAAGTACTGTAGAAATGTTCAACTTCTATGGATGTCAGAAAACTTCATGGAACGTTTAACCACAGAATCTGATCTAGCAGGGAATATGAAACACTGATGGCAGAAAGAACAAGGTGTGTTTCAAAGGCTACTAAGAATTTCCTGAGGATGCAAGCAGGATAACACTCAATGGGGGAGTTAGTAGGTTGGGACAAGATCATGCATGGCCTTAAATGGCATGCAAGTGTCTTTCTGTTCTTTCAGCAGCTGTCAGTCATTTGTCTAAGAAGGCTCGTGGCCCAGCCAAAACTGTGCTTTACCTTAGACATCCTGGTCCAAGAGCAGGGAAGGTGATTCAGGTAGAGAGGAAGTCAAAGGAAAGGAAAGAAGAGTTAAGAACTCAGTAGTTCTGGCAAAAGCTGACAGTGGGCTGGATCAGTAGTACTGAGATGCCAGAGCTCTGGAGAGATAACCTGTGGTTCATCATCACTTGACTGTAAGTACAGAGGGAAAGAAAGCTTATCCTCAAGCCCCAGCCATACGTCTGTGAACTTGGAATCCAGGCCACAGCCTGGCCATTGTCTATGTTTCTAGTTTACTCTTGCACAATAGCCCCTGTGCCCAGTAATTTTTAAGCACTTGCTATATCATTCTTTTCACAGAAATTATTCTCCACACATCAGTTTTGTCTGGAACAACAGTCAGTGCTTAGGGGAATTCAAATTCCAGCCTCCTCTGGGTAAAGGATCTGGGAACAGGAAGAGAGAAATATAGGAATATAAAGTGATAGTCTAAAGAGATGGAAACTGACAGCCATCAGTTCTGCCTGCAAATAGGGATGAACTTTTAACTATGGTTTTCTTTGCTCTACAGATCTGTCTTTGTACAATGGCTCTCAGCAGCCAGGGATTAGCTTTTCATGATAACCCTCCTGCCACATACAACCAACAACTGCTGTAAAGTTTACTTTTACTGAGGTCTACGTGACTCCCAGTACATCCCATCCCACCCAATAAACTTTACCCCAGCACCCCCGTGCGACGACCCGCTTTGCCTTGTTTCATACCCTTCCCTGCTATGGGAAAACTGCTATGACAGGAAAGTGCAGGTTTCAGGCAAACACTATTAATTGTGTCAGGAAAGACTAGAGGCTTCTACAAACATCAGTTAGCTGGAACCTTCTAAGACCTTGTTAGCAGGAATTGTAAATCTTAAAATATATCTCTAAAAGTTTGACTTCAAAATTGTAAAAATGTTCTTATCCATGCCTAATACTTACCTCTTACTATAAAAAGGGGCTCAAAACCTGCCCCCATTTGCCATAGTTCAGAAGCCCAAACTCTGGCTATGGTCCCAGTTAACTGGTAAGCTTTTTCTCCCCATGGTGAATTTTTGGAATAAAATTTGCTTCTGGTTTTTAGACATCGTGGTCTGTACCCCATTATTTTGTACATCCCCCCCAAAACCTAACATGGGAAGCTTCTCCAACTCCTCAGACAGTGGCTGTTACTTACTTCATTGTAATAAACACCTTGCTTAGCTTGTGTGTGTAAGGCAATGACTTCTTCCTTTTGTAATTCTAGCAATCCATACAAGCCCTAGACATAGGCACTTAACAAGTATTTGCAGAATGCTACAGACCAAAGCAGTAGATCTGAGTGTAAAATCATTTTGCATTGTCTGTTTATAAAATCTGCCAGAACATATTCCTCTTGATGTTTAAAGCAGAGTAGAACCAACCATGTATGGTCACTATGGTACAGTGGATCCTCCAGAATAAAAGAAGAACCAACCAGCTGCAGTTATAAACGGAAAATGAAAAATATGGTAGATCTGAGGAAGACTTCATACCGGCAAGAACACATTTCCTTGTCAGTGTCATAACAAGTATCTATGTTATCTATTGTGGGTATTATAATGAGTGTCTATATCATCTACTACATACCATCTATTGTCATCAATAAGGATGGATTTGCCAGGTTGCACAATCTCATCGTTAACATAGCAGTCACACTCAGATTTCTGAACACAGTTTCCTTCACTGTTCTGGTACATCCCCTCAGGGCAAGTACATCCATCAACTGGAATGTCTTCTATATCACAGCTTCTGTCTCGTTGTGAGAGTGATCGGCAAGAACTGTTGCAGGTTTTCACTTTGTAGTCAAACACAAGGCCACTTGGACAAGAAACCTCTGTGGGCAAGAGACAAGAACAGTTACTATGTGTACATTCAGGAAGAAAATTTCCTTCACACTGATGTTTGTAAAGAACATAGTGGATTATTCATAATTAAAGTTACGAGTGTAGAAAAAATTGATTTGCTCATTGGTTTATTTTTTTTTATTCATTCTGTTCAGTCAATGTTTCAGACAAAGCCCACAGGCAGGGTAGGCAATACACACTGCTCTCGTGTGGCTTGTGTTCCTGTTGTAAGGACAACTGTGGCATGTGACATAAAAGGGCAGATGCATACTGTCTCCATGCACAGCTAAGATCTGTACTGAGGGAGGAGAATGGACCAATTAACAGGGGAACTGAAGCCCAGTGAAGGGTAATTCCACATGAGGACAACAGCCTAAGCTGGGAGACAGCATGATTCTCACAAAGAGCATACCAAAGGTGGAAGTTCTAAGTCCAGGGACACTGTTGGTGGTTATAGAACCCTTTAAACTAGGAGAAACAGCTGGCATTGTTTTATGTCTTATGTGATTTTACTTTAAACATTATCTGATTTTCACCCTAGAATATAGATTAGAAGGAGCAGAAGAGAAATACCAAAAAAGGTCATTACAATTAGACAAGATGAAAAGAAAGGGAAGGGATTTCCTTTTGCTAAATTAATGGCAGTGGAAATTTAAGCTGTGAAGAGACCCTGGAGGGAAGGTGACCAGCCCTATTGCTGATTGGACATGGGCCATGAAGTTCTGAGAAGTCTAGAGGATTTCAGCTTCCTCAAATCTGACCTTATTTGGAAGCTGTCCCTGAGTCTGGATGCCTGACTTATTATAAGTGTGGCCTTTGTTCCCTGCAAATGCCCCCCTCCCACCTTGCTGTCCATATGGTAATCACATATTATGCTCCAGCTGTAAGGTAGGACCATGCTGCCAAATGCTAATTAGGTGATGCCCCAACCGCTGTCCCCATCTACGTATTCCCCCCTTACTCTGAAATATAGTTGAGCTGTAACATTGAAGCTATTTCCATTGTACTCATAGGCCCTGCATGCTGCCTCTGCTCCCTGTGTCCTTGTGGACTGGTGGCCAAGAGACCACAAAGAAAAGGGAGACCCCGTAATCTTTTAAAGAAATCGTTTTTGAAAGTATCAGGCACAAGTTTGTAAATGCATGTGTCTCCGCAGCCCAGCGCAGGTGCACACAGGAAGTGGAGGAGGAAGCAGAGAAGGAAGCGGAGGCATCTGCCACAGACCGTCACTCTCCTACTCACCACATAGTCCAGCTCTCCAGCCCGCTAGATATGTTTCTTTCTCACCACATGCCTTCACATAGTTCCCTAAAACTGTACACAGGCAGTCTTGGCTGTTTTCACAAGAGCACGTGTATTTTTTGCATTCCTTTCAAATAAAAAGAAATATATATACATATTACATTCTGAAGTGAGTCAGAGGGACAGGCAATGTGTGTATAGCAGCTGACTGTAACTCCAGGCATCCCTGACCCCAGAATTAAATATTACTTTGAGACATTCAGAAATGTTTTTAAATATTTAAAATAGCTAATTAATTATTAATCCACTTTAAAAAGGAAAAAGGAGAAGTTATTCAATCTTTTTCTTGTTTGAGATTCTTTCCCAGCATTAGATTTATAAAGTTAGTATATCTAATACTTAAGTAAATCATTAGACTCGCCAGGCGGTGGTGGTGCACGCCTTTAATCCCAGCACGCGGGAGGCAGAGGCAGGTGGATCTCTGTGAGTTTGAGGCCAGTCTGGGCTACAGAGTGAGTTCCAGGAAAGGCGCAAAGCTACACAGAGAAACCCTGTCTCAAAAAAAACCAAAAACAAACAAACAAAAAGCCTCTAATTCTATTTTTAAGCATATACCTTAATCTATTGACAATAGTAATAATTTGAAGATGTTTAAGATGTGTATGCTTCATCAAAATCAGCAAATTATTCCTAATAAAGGCTGTTAGTGCTAGACCATCACATACCTCATAGTAGAATTTGGGGTTCACAGTTTGATGGCAGGCAGCAAAGGGCCCGCTTGAATTGAGAAGAACCCCACAGTTGCTTTCAGCAAACTCCTCTGGAAGGAAGTGAAAGTGTTCAAGGTTAGCCTCGGCAATACCAAAGTGTCTTTAATTTAAAGGAAAACTGTATCTTTCTCAGAGATCTGCCTCCAGGAAGAGTTTTGCCCTCAAAGTAGTTGCTGTGATGGATCAAATTCAATGTCACTATGTTTAAAATAACGCAGTGCAAACAGCTCACACTCAAAGGTAAAATCTTCATCACTACTGGCTTTTCCTAGTAACCCATTCAACATTTCTCTGAAATGTAGTTTCTGTATAAAAATGAACATGACATCTTAGGTGTCCCTTTGCTGTGCACTAACGTGGCTCACCTGCCACCTCTTCTGTATTTCACCCGTGTCACATGATATAGCATCACCAGGATCAATAAGCAAAAAGCATTTTCTGAAAAGTGTTTAACTGATATTTTTTTTCATTTATAAATATCTGCCCCGTACTAAGTTCACAGAAAGAAACTTCATAAAAAGGGAGGTGATAGCAAATGCTTTCCATAATGGTTTTAAGCATAAAGGAGTCTGACCTCGTGACAGAGACAGAGAAAGCTCCTATGACTAGTATTCCGGCAAATATGCAGCAACCTGTCACTCTACTTTTTCTGAAGCTATTACTATTAACAACATCTTCTCCAACTTCAGTTTAATTTATGCTGTGACTAGTTCAAATGTAATACACCAAAAATCAGATTTATTTTATATGCACTACAAAACGCTGGCCTCTTTTCTACTGAACATAAATTAACTTTGCTCCTTATAAGAAATGCACTCGTTTCTGTAATCTCACAATTCTTTTATTGAAATAACCCCAAACTAAATAACACAGCCACTAAACCTCCCCAAATAGAAATCACAACAATACTTCCACCAACTAGTCATCAATTTGAAATTAGTGGGTGATATTTCCATTTGGGACTGCCTTAGTAATTTAAAAGAATATTATAAATTGATCAGACTCTGTTTCATATATGTGTATATGTATAATCATTTTGAAAAACGGGTTAGCACATTCACAAATTGTAAGCTTGCTTCCATTGCATTTCTTATTTATAAAAGGAGTGACATGAAGCCCCCATGAAAACTGCCACAACCACAGGGGGCACCTCAGTGTCACTGGTTTCCAAGTGCTTGGATGGCAGTGTCATTTGTGATCCCTAGGAAGTCCAGGGCCTCTGTCCTGTACCATCTACGTTTGTATTAATATAGATGGTGGCCACATCATGTCCTCTGCGAGTTGGTATGGGAATAAACAAACTAGCATTAGTGAAAGCCTTTAACAGGCTAAAAGAGGAACCATGTATGTGTTAGGTTGTAGTTAGGACTGTGTTAGAACTGGTATTACTGAATGAGTGGTGTACATCACTGAAAACCCACTAAATCATTTGCACCACTAAAGAAGGAGGGGAAATGAATAAGCCGAATAATTTCTAAAACCTCCTCTAGCCGTATTGTTCTGTCATAGTATGAGAAACAGAGGTATGGTAAAAGACGACAGAGATGAGTTAGTTACCAATGAAGAATGGGTTTTCTAGACACACACCCAAACCAGACTACTTCTCTGTTTCTTCTAAAACTGGGACAGGGTGAGAAATATGAGCTAGAAGCAAGGTGATCTGATGTGTTCATATGATTATCAGCATAATTCTTCAAGTACCAGTACCAACTGTAAACAACGGAGTTTGATTCTCAATGGCTGTCACCTGTTTCGATGCTGACGCAGGAGGAGGGGCTCCCCTTAGGGCAAGACATCATCTCCCAGGAATTCGCAAATGCCTGAGCTGTGCTCTCCAGAATTTTCTGACTTGACATGAAATCATCTTCTGCCTTATTGTTGTAGGAACCACAAAGACCTGCATGATGTCAACGACACAGAGCAAAGGTTAGTATTCCCACCTACTCAGCCTTTTGGCTACTTTATTGAAAACACTGTAAGAAATACTTGAAATAGGTTTAGTTAATAGTGGCACACATCCAGTAAAATCTTATGTCACTTCAGGCTTCATTCATTGGTCTTTCACAAAAATTCCAGAACACAGAAAACCATGTACCATGAATGGTGCGTGGTTGCTGGTCATGGTAACTTTAGAAAGGTGAATCGCCCTAAGGCTATGTGCCTTCCTTGTCAAAGCTGTCCAATCCACAAGTTGCTTTCTTAGTCTATATGAAAACACCTTAAGTGATTACTAAGTAAAAATGTAGCATAAAGCTTGTACCATGTATGCATTAACCCTTCTGTGGGACTTGCCATTTATTTGTTCAACCTTTATGACTATAAAGAGGAGCTCATTTTTATTTGATGTGAAACTTCAGGAAAATAAATGAGCATGTGGTGAGGCCTAAAGGCAAATAGTAATCACTTGCCCCTGAGTTTTAAAGTTATATATACTGTATTTTCATTTATTCAGCTTCATGCCAAGGTCTGAACATATACACTACTAGTAAATGTACATATAAAACATATTTTCAAAATGTTAACTAAGTAGCAGTCCTTAAATATTTTTAGATTTCATTTCATATGGATGTGTGCATTGCCTGCATGCATGTAAGTGCACCACCTGCATGCCTGGAACCCATGGAGCCAGAAGACAAAGCCTCAAATCAGCTGGCAGTGGAGTTACTGATGGTTTTGAGATACCATGTGGGTGCTGAGAGTTGAACCCGGGCCCTCTGCAAGAGCAACAAGTGCCCCAAACCACTGAGCCATTTCTCCAGCCCCTAAATAAAAGACTTAATTCAAAAATTTTAAATGCATGAATTGTTGAACATCTTTTGGTATTGATTCTGGATGGACAACGGTTGATGGTTACATTGTTCTCTTAAATGCAGGTTAAATAAAAAGGCTGAGCACACAGCAGATTAGCAGTCTCATGTCATATGTGACCTCTCAGAATGTAAGAGGTGTTTTTGAGATATCGCATCGCCACATTAAGTGAATGATGCTGGATCCTTGGAAATAACACTATTTGGCAGACTTACCAACAGTGTCTGTGAATGCATCAGGAGGCATGGACACATACAACTGCATCACAGGAGAGATTTGTATTTGCATTTTTAGGAGAGAGAGTACTTCTGCTTGCATGTATAAAGAAGATGCATTGAAGATCTGTATATCATCTGTTGAATAATAATTTACAATAAAAATTAGCATGTCAGGTTTAGAAACCGAGTAAATAAATGCATCTTACATGTGTTTCTAAATGCTGTTGTTCACCTTACCTGAATAGTAATAACCTTTAATTCTAACTCCATCCTTTGTGACTGTCCCATCACTATTGAACACAAATCTGCTACCTGAAAGAGACTAATATTTAAAACACTTCGTTAGCTCAGCATGGCTTTAATGTGCTACATGAAGCTGAAATTTTATGCCACTAAAACATGCTGAATTCTATAGCAAAGATATATGAACATCTTTACAGCCTTTCTTACACTATGCTTCATGTTTCCCATATCAGCACTGGAAAGGAACATTTGTCTCCAATTTACCAAAGAAACTGAAACCAAGATGGTAACCATTTGTAATTATTAGCACCCAGGCAAAGTCATTATTCTTCAAAACTTCAGACTCCTTTTTTGCACATGTGTGTGTATGTGGCAGGGGTGATAGGAGGGGGAAGACCACAGACTTGTACCAGGTGTCTTCCTAAGTTGCCACACACCTTGTTCTTTTGAGATATAGATTCTCAATGAATCTGAAGCTTGTCAATTTGTCAAGACTGGCTCATCAGCAAGCCCCAGGGCCCTGCTCTGTCTTTGCCTCCCCTGTCCTGGAATTATAGACAATGCAGCCAGGCCAAACACTTTTTCCTCACATGAATGCTAGGGATGAAGGCTAGAAAAAGTATCCACCAAATCATCTCTCCAGTTCCCAAACTATGTTTTCTTCTTCTTTTTTTAATTTTGAATTTTAGTGTGTGTCAGGGGATGGGGTCAGGGGAGTTACATGTACTTGGGAAAGTGTATGTGCCTATGCATTTTCCTGCATAAGTCAGAGCAAGGCATTGGTATCTTGCTCTATTACTCTTTGACTTATCCCAATGAGATAGGGTCTTTTGCTTAACCTGGATCTCACTAGTTTTGGCTAGGCTGGATGGTCAGCAATCCCCAGTGATCCTTCTTCCTCTGACCCAGAGGGCTGAGGTTATGGCCTAGCTATTGCAAGGTCCTTGACATTGGACCTCATCAGATCCCCATACATTTGTATCAAGTTCCCCTACTCACTGAGCCAACACCTCAGCCCTCTCCAGATTTTAGTTTGTGAAATCATCAATCTGATTTTCCTGGGGCTAAATCTTCAGAAGGTAAAAAATACTTACAGAGTTTTGAAGAAGCGTGACACTCTTTAAGCATGATCCAGTCTGACCATTGTCACATGGATGAAGTTCAACACTAATAGAAATATTTTCATTCTGTAAAACAATTATTTTTTTGTTCAAGAATTTTCCCACACACTATTTCTATGTGATTTATTCACAATGAACTTAAATCTGCACAGTTTCTCCATACAGTACAATCTCTTCAGAATCTAGCAACCTCATCCAGCTCCCTGGCACACCCACAGGAGCAGACAAGCATCTTATAAACGGTCCGGGTGTCATGTGGAATCTATGCTCCATACAATTGATGGACATTTTACTACAAAATGTTGTATCTTCCCTCTTGCATCCAATATAATTGTGGTGCTTTGTGGGGCTTATCAGGAATTAAAGGTAAAATGACTTTTGAATCCCTGAGTAGTCTGTAGAATCTGAATAGATACAAATGAAAGATTTTTTTAACTTGGAAAGCTGTAAATTTTGGTTTGAAATGTCATGAGATTCCCAGCTCTGACAAGCAGGTCTCTGAAGCACTGCTCTGAAAACAGCAAGCATTCTGTATGCCTTAGTGGGTTTCTCTTCCTCTCTCCCCATCCCTAGTCCTCATAGAGTGAACAAAAGGAGCATAAGAAGAAAGAAAAAAAACAATGTTTGATACACAGTATTCATCACTTTGGAATGTCAATCTTGAGTAGTAGGAACTACATTTGGTGGAACTTTTCCATATCAACCCCCTCCTCTCTCTTTGCAGTACACAAATTTAGTTCATCTTTATTTCTTACGAGAAACATGAAACACAAATCATTTTTCTCCTGTCCACTGAAAGCAGGAGATATAAAATAGAACTGCCCTGTTATTGGGCTTCAGATTACTGGAGATTGTAATACTAAGAAGAGTCTGAATGTAAACACAGCAGTCATCCTATAATCAGGCCAAATACTTTATAATAAAGGCTAAAAATATTCAGGGAATAATGAAGAATATGCTTCTAGGACATACAGGACCAGATTATATAAAGTGTTGTTGAGTATACGCAGACAGGCAGAAGAGTACAACAACTTTCCTATGTACTCAGAGGGTTGTTCACAAATTAAGATTTCACTTGTTTCAGCCAGAAATTTTCAGAGTGTTCATGCTATAACATTAATGTACAATGATATCAATGTCAATTTTGTGACAAAAAAGGGATACTGAAATGTGTAATCAATAATCCAAAGGCTGTTTGGTTCTTACATCTTTACATAGTAACTCAGTAGAAAAGCTACTTCCTCCTGTCCAGCTGGCTTTCTTAGTGTCAGAAGGAACTATGCAAGCTGCTGGAAGAGTAAAGTCATCCACAGTCTTGTACATCAGTGAACCCTGTGAGCTACAATTAGCCAGGCAAGAAATACCTATTGCTGCAATAGCGGCATGAATATTATGGGGCAACTAACATCTTTCTAATTGTTGTTAAGACTTGGCTTGCTCCACAAGAGGGAACTCATGCCTGGAACTCTAACCCTGACCAAGAATCTGTGCTGGGGAGATGATACACCCTTGGGCAGAACCTACTACTCTTAGCATTCAAACAAATCAAATGTCTTTCTAAGTACCTATCCTTACACCCTTAGATTAGACTAGTTTTCACCTCTCATCACAGAAGCTTGTTTTTGCACTAGATAGTAGTAGAGATTCAAACTGGCCCAAGTATTTAAAATGACTTTTTTTATATATCCCTAAATGAAACATTCATGTCACAACCCTTTCCCAAGAAGACCCAAGGAACATCATAGAAGCGGGGGAAGAAAAAAAATTGTGAAATCCGGAAGTTGTGAAGGACTGATACAAACTAATGTCTTCTGGAGGTAAAAGAGTCATTTCACTGATGAACACATAGCAACTGTGGCTGGCTACACAAGACTCATGCAACATCAAGCTGTCAACATTCCAGTATAGATAGGGGAGGAGCTCACGAGGTCCCACTCCTGGTTGAGGAGCTATTGAAAGTTGATGGTTGCTGAGATAGAAGGAGTCAGTTTTCTTTATGGATGTAGTCCTTAGTAGGTTGCCCATGTTCCAGTGGATAACCCAATACCCATGTGCATGATGGAAGCAGTAATTGGAGTCAATTGGTTACAAAGAAGAGGAGAAGGAGAGAAAGGAGAAGGAGGAGAAAGAAATGAAGTTTATTTACAGGGACATATCTAGGAGGGGAAAGTGGGAAATAGATATGCTCTAAATACATTGTATACATGTATGAAATTACCAAAAATAAATAACATAAAACAAATTGTGCTTTAAATTAGTTGAGAATTTGCTTGGTTTTTCACAAATGTAGGCAAGTACTTACATGAACGGCCAAGAAGTGACAGTCTCCAGGGTGGCTAAATACATTGTTATCAAAAGTGGTAAATAAGCTCCCTTCCACTTTGCATATCCCAGTACATAAAGCTTCGGTACAAGACCACTTTGCTTCTTGGCATGTGCTGTGGAATGTAAAGGTGAGTCAAAGGTAAATCTTCTACACGCTGAGCAAACACCACGACATTAGAACAGCCCATCCAAAGCTGATATGTGAGCAAGCCCCATCAGTTCATTTCCCACCTAGCAATAGCCCTGATACAGTGGATTATCGATTTAATATCATGATATTTTAAACTACTTCAGTTCCTTTGAGGAAAAATAATCATAACTTCATGAGTTAACCATCCATAAATCTTATACACTGGATTTCTGAGGTTTGTCTCTGTGCTATGTAATTAGCGAGAAGGCAACTGGTACAAACTACAGTGTAAACTTGTACTTTGTAATGTCATACAGAGGTGCAGAGATATTAAGAGATGTACAGAGGCCTTAAGAAGACATTGCTTCTCAAAACATCAAAAATAGAACTACAGCACCCTGGGCGTAGACCCAGAGACCTCCACGCCCTACGATAGAGATATTTGCTCCCCATTTCATTGTTATTTTACTCACTATGGCACGGAAGTGGAGCCAGCCTGGTTGTCCACCAACAGATGAATGGATAATAACAATCTAGTACAAATATGGAAAACTATTCAGCTCTAAAGAGAAGTATACTCACAAAATTTGCGAGAAAATGGAGGGACTTAGAGTGTATAATAATATTAAGTAAGGTTACCACAGAAAGAAAGAAAGAGACCCACATGTTCACCCTCATATTCAGATCTTAGCCTATAGTGGATAGACATATAGCTGTAAACCAATGTAATGTGGTTCAAGTATAACATGAAGAAGAGGAAAGGCGATAAAAACCAAAATGCTTACTAATGAGTTCATGTGTCCTGTACTTTGTGCGAGTCCTTTGTATGACCTCTTAAGGTCTAACACAATCTCCCTACAAAGTGATCCTTCAGTGAGCAGTGTCCACAAGTGACTCTGTGAGGGGCTGTTCACTTACTGGAGACCTTCACTTTAAATTGTGTTTTTAGGTGTTTAAATATTCCTGTAGTTCTTCATAAGCACTACTAAACTTAGTGTATTTATGCTTTAAACACAAGTTCAGTTATCCAAATAGTAGGGTGTGAAGATTAGTAGAAGTGTGTTCAAAATCATCATAATTTTAAATTTCTGAGAATTCCTGGGAAATTGATTTATTGCCCCGAATCTGTAAGAGTAGCATGCCAGGAATTTAAAAATGCTGACAATTGCTTTTTGTTTGTTTGCTTGCTTGCTTGTTTCTTTCTTTCTCATGGCATATTATAATTCTAAGAGGCATCATTTTTGCTGAGTAAAATTTAAATAACTTTAAGCATGAATGAAAACCTTGATATTATCTTCACGTTCATAAAATGTAATCAAAAAGCACACACATACCATTGAGAACCACAGGGGCCTTCTCGGACTTCTCCTGGTTTGTACACTTTCCCATTAGATTCACAGGGGCATTTTTCCTTTAATACACACTTTCCTTTCTCACTGATATCATCCAATAGATAACCTAGCATACACATATAGATACAGAGTCATAAAATTATATGAACGTCAATGAATTCTTTAACAACTGTACCCATTCCTTAACTCTTTCTAATGCAAGTGCAGGTGTGCCCTGAAATGCTGCTTTCTTGTGGAAGTGATCATATTTTATTTTGACTGACAGGAATATAATGAAAACCTTCTGAGCCTGAGTTACTGCCCTATAGAGACAGGACCTATAAAGCCCAATGTAGTCTGGTGGAATTCGGGAACTCAGTACTCAGAGATAAAAACACACACGAGCTTTGAAAGTATCTGACATTCTTGAGTGGGTTGTCAGAGGACAGATAGGAATTATTCACCTGCTGCAATAGCATTTTGGAACTACAGCTTGCTATACTCTGTCTAGTTTTGCTGTGTTGACATGAATTGGCTCACAGGTAAATTACCTTCTGGGCAAGTGCAGCCACTCACGCATTCACTGTCTTGAAAAGGAGCCACATTAGAGCAAGTTGGAGGATTTGAAGGACCGCATTCTTTGTAAATGTGCTTTCCTGGACATTGTTGCTTTTCTGAAGATGTAAAGAAATATGTATACTCAGAAATGAAAGGAAAATAAACAGAGTTCCCTAATGATCCTTTCCAATGGGATTCATTGAGTCTGCTTTTCAAGACACAAATCAATCTTTCTAGAAACTTCATAAAACTAAATGACGGCAACTTCTCAAGCATTATTTCACTGAATAGTTTTTAATTTAGAGGGAATATAAATGGCACCATTTAATTTCATCACATGTTGAATTTGATATTCGGTTCTATAAAGATTAGCCCAAGCATCAAAGCATAAATTGTACTTATACTTTGTATAAAGCTCCTATTTACATTTTACTAATCTTTTAAAATAATTTAACAAGAGTAGACTACTAAAAAATAATCAGCTGCATTTTATAGGATTTATATTTCTCCCCTTATGTTTTGCTGATGAGCATACTAATTAAGACCTTAAGACAAAATTCTGCAACAAAGCAAGTCATATCACTAAATGAGCCTCAATATCCTCATAAACACATGTTAGAGACAAGACTTTCTTAGTTCTCACTCCCTTTCTCAGCCTTAGAATCATTCAAGAAAACTGTTTTTAGGAATACTTTCAGATATAAAGTGAGTTCTTTAAGAAGGCTTTTTTTTTTTTTTTTTTTTGTAACCTATTATTGCTAAGGGAAAAAAAGCACCTACCACAAACGACTGCAGAATCATCTCGCCAGTGTTCAAAGACACCAGGACCATCGTAGGCACACAGTCGGGCTAGTTCTGAAAAGGTGTTACATGTAGTGCTCTTGCCTCCTCTGGTTCGACAGTACTCATCAACGCACACCTTTTTGTACTCACTGGATGAAGGGGAAACCTTCCCACATTTCTCAAAGTAAGTTCCAATAATTCTGTCACAATACTGCAAAGCAAAGCACATTTCATTAAAACAAAAGGGAAAAAAAGAGGGCAATAGGGTGGATTTCTAAGAAAAGATAGATGCAGAAATTTTGTTTGTCGTAATATAACATTCTGTAACTCTTGTGGAGTCGGGCCGATGAATTCTGATTGAAACTTTAAACTTTGGTTGTATCATTAATAAAGACAGTCTCAGAAGAAAGGTCTACCTCTGACATTTCAGATGGCTATGATGGCTTCAGATTTATTTGTTTGATTTATCACCTAGATTTACCCATCTGTCTCCTGCACTGCAGTGAGTCTTAGATCTGGAGAAAACAGGTGGGTAGGAAACAGGAAAGTTATCAATGCTAAGGAATGCATGGCAACTGGTGGAAAAGCACAATTCCCAGAAGAGATCCCGGCCCTGAACTGTCAATCTGCTTAGATTTGATGAGCAAGCAGGTGGATAGGCAACCATAAACTACAGTGTCCTTTTTTAGTGAAACTGATATTCATTTGCTTTTATACCACAAATAATTTATTTGTCCTTTGTCGGCAAACAAAAGAAAGACATATTATGCTGTGCCTCAAAACACTTGAATTTCAACATATTTCAACAACCACATGGCATTTTATGTTATCAAAAATTTTTCAGAAAAACATAAAAGCTCCTGTTTAACAACTGTGTAGTTTGTACTAATTTCAGTTGGGGAAGGCTGATAAAATCCAATCCTCAACACACACACACACACACACACACACACACACACACACACACACACCAAATCAGCTAAAAATAAGGAAAAGAGAATCATTGAGAATATTTTTCACAAATTGCTTTTGGGAATTTTCTCCTATACTTCCATGACTATTTTAAAGTTTGTAGACAAGAATTGTTATTCTGCTGAGACCATCTCAGTATCCGATGGCCATGTCCTTGTGGGGGCCATACTGATCTGGGTAGCCTGTGCTGCCATCTGGGGCCATGGAGACATCTGACCTGGGCCACAGCCTAGGGCCATGTCTGGGTCTGTGGTCCTGCTGCAGCTGGGTTTTGTAATGGTGTCCATAGCCAATGTTAGCACAGGGGGTCATAAGTACCACATATGTGGAAATCCGTGAGCTGCTTTGAGTCAGCCCCATCCTTCGCTAGCCCTAGGATAGATGACCCTGACCCTTGCTGGCTAGACACTGCAACAAGAGAGCTGCCACTGCCTTTCAGAGGAGAACTGCACCCAACTCTCTAAACACATACTCAGGAAAGATAGACCTACCCCTTACCACTGGCATGCAACTCACCAGGGCAGCACACTAGAGCTGAACCTATTGTTGGGGTCTCTTGTGAGATGACTCTGAGAGTATGAGAGTATGAGATCTGACCCTGCCACCCCCTCTATCTGCCATGTGGTGGTATGAGTGAGAAAAAAGATGACTCTGCCCTCCCCTCCCCCCACCGCCACCCCTGCACTTACGGAATATCACCTATAGCAGGTGAGAAAACTGGCCTCACAAGCTGCTCCCCGAGTGGGATCTGCACCCCTTCTGGGCAGTACACTAGAGCTGACCCTGTTGTCAGGATGTATGTGAGCTGGCCATGGGGGCATGAGGGTGGCAGAGCTGACCCCCTCCCCTTATCTGCCATGCGGCAGCATGGATAAAGGAAAGATGTCTTTCCCTCCTTCGCCCCCATGCTACCTGTGGCAGGAGAGAGAGCTGGCCCCAGGATCACAAAAGTGAGAGGGCTGCCCCAGCCCCTTACCAGCTGCAGCACACTAGAGCTGGCCCTGTTGTCCAGGGAGCAGATGAGCCAGCCCTGAGGGCATGAGAACAGGAGAGCTGACTCTACCCCTCCTCGTATACCCCCTGCATCAGTTGGGGGAGAGAGGCCTCCGTGTCTGCCTGGGAAAAAGAGAAGAACTGGCCCAGGGGGTGTGAGTGTGAACAGGCTGGCTCTGGGGGACCTGAGAACAGGAGAACTGGTCCAGCCCTTTGCTGCAGGATGCATTGGGTACACTAGCCAGGTGCTGGAGAGCTCACCCAGGTAGTAATGATGAGGGAAAGCTGGCAGGCTGACCAACCCAGCTACCACTCAGGCCCAGAACCAGGGCTATGAGTCATCCCACCCCAACATCCACCACATCTATGAACTGTTGGAGCTTGAGAAGGGGAAGAACCTACAGATTCAAAACGGCAGGATCTCCATGACACAGAACAACAACAGGATATCCAAGAAGAGTCCCAGAGAGAGCCTATTATCCATCATGTAGCAGAAGTCAGAGGCCTTGAACCAGACCAATGACTCATGGCAGTGAACAAGTAAAGGTGAATGGACTAAAGGGTAAATTGTGTGACTCAATGGGCTACACTATAGCTTCCACAATGAGATTCTTCTCCTTTTTTGTTTTTTTTTGGGGGGGGGGCGCGGGTCTTTTAAATTTTGTTTTGTTTTGTTTGGGGTGGTGGTGCATGGGTACAGGGCAGAAGTGAGGGGATGAGGGGACAGGGAGATAAAGTGAGATCAGGATGCATGATGTGAAATCCACAGAGAATCAGTAAAAGTTAAGGGGGGGAATGTTATTCTGTGTAACTTTTTAAAAATGAAAGTCAGGGACATTTCAAACAGCAAGCTCAGGTCAGAAGTTAGGAAACCACTTAGATTGCAAATGCTCTGGAGGAGAAGCAAGCCCTGCCTGTTCAGAGGCAGAGCACAGGAAGCGTGTCTTACAGACAAACCAAAATATCATGCAAAGAAAATTAAGATTGTTACACTAAAGCAGAGTACATACTATACTGCTTTGGCAAAAAAAACAAACAAACAAGAAACACCTTACCTTAACATTCACCACTTGACAGGAAAGTTGAAGTACACGGACATTGGGAGAAAGCTGGGACAGAATTCCAGCATGGGGGTAGGAGTTTCTAGAGGATGGGGGCATCTAAGTACAAACCATGGGCTCCTTTGCTATGGCATTAACATAGTGCTTAGATCAGCAGGGCAGAAAAGTGGTCCCACGGTTAAATCATGTCACAACTGTTTTCTGACAAACCACTAAGACAACGTAATGCTTGGAAAACAAGATTGCCACACACGAAAGAAAACAATAGAGTCCTGATCTCACACCAGAAATAGAAATCAAGTCAACATATATGAAAAAGATAACACTTGAAAATATAAAAACCTAAGATCAAAGAATGAAAACACTCTTAGCCACTAGTTTGGCTTGACCTTTAGATGTCATGCTAAAAACTCAGGCCACCAAGGCAAAAACTAATAAAGGCATTGCCTTTATTTCATAAACACAGCAAAGGAAACAATGTATATTTTGAAATACAATTTTCAATGGGAACCTAGAGATCAGGAAAATGTTTGCAAATCATGATCTGATAAAGGGCTGATTGCAAAGTTGATTAATAGCTCATATAACTCAGTAATGCAGGAACAACTCAATTAGACCTATTGAGCTTGAATCGACATTTCCCAAAAAGAAACAAGAGTGACAACAGGAGTGTGAGAAAGTGTTCAATGGCGTTGATCATTAGGTAAATATAGACCAACCCCACTGGAATGGCTATCAACACAAAGTCAGAAAATAATAATGGGGAGCACATAGACGAAGTAGGAACTCTTTTATAGCCATTGCAAAAAAAAAAAAAACAGCATAGACATAGACGTTTTGGGTACATAAAGACTTGACTCTGACCCAGTGAAATCCACCCTCAAAAAGATATTCCTGTTTCACATTCATACAGTACCATTCTCAACAGCCAAGAAATGGAAACAACCTAAACATCTATAGCAGGAGAAACAAAGAATCTGTGGTTATACAGTAGGACATTATTCATCTCTAAAACAAAGAACAAAATATTGCAGGCTATTACAAAATATATGAGCCTGGTGAATGTTATGCTTTATGAAATAATTTTCTAAATTGTATAATCTCATTTATATGAAGATAAAGACAGTCAAATATATCAAGAAAAGGAAGCAGTGGGTCTGGGTTGGGAAGAAATAGGGAGACATATGCCAGAAGTTATAACATAGACATACATAAGATGAGCAAATCCTGAGCTCAGGTGTCCATTGTGAGGACTATAGTAAAGCAAATGCACCATGCAAGATATTCATGCTAAATGAGTAGATTTCAACTCTTCTTGGCACAACTACAAAAAAATGAATAACTATATGATACAATGGATATGTTAGTTTTCTTCATTACAATAATCTTTTTATTCTTTTTATATACCCCATGTGGTGGTTTGAAAGAAAATGATGGGACTGGAACTATTAGGATGTATGGCTTTGTTGAAGTAGGTGTGGTCTTGTTGGAGGAGATGTGTCACTGTGCGGGGAGTCTTCGAGGGGTCATATATGCTCAAGTCATGTCCAGTGAGACAGTTCACTTTCCTTTTGCCTTCTGATCAAGATGCAGCCAGCATCATGTCTGCCTACATGCCGCCATGCTCCCAGTCATGATGATAATGGACGGAACCCCCAAAATGTAAGCTGCCACCTCAGTTAAATGTTTTCTTTTATGAGTTGTTGTACTCATGGTGTCTATTCACAGCAGTAGAAGCCCTAAGGCACCCTATAATATCATAGTATATACCTTAAAATATACAATAAATTTTATTTTAATAAATCAAGAAGATTAGTGCTAAAATTGTTGGAAATGAAACCAGATTTCCTACCTGCACTCCATCCTCGCAAACTTCCTTGTTCTTACTCAAAGGGCTGGGACAGTCATTGGAAATTTTACTATTGGCAATGTGCTCATTAATATCTTGACCTGCAAATCAAAGCATGATTTCAAGATATTCATTTGTACTTTATTTGTAAGCTACATATAGTCTTGGCAAAATAAATTGCAGTTTGATTCTGTTTCTCGTCCTTTAGACAAATGCAAATTATTAGTAAATTTATCTAAATGTGAAATTTTTAAATTTTCTTTTAGAAAGTATTTTTCTTATTAATAATCTGTCCAGTCTCACCTGGAGTGTTGTTGAAGTTGCCACAAAGACCACAGGTTGTATACTGGCTATAAAGAGTGAGCTGTAAAAACAAGTAACATTGGTATTTTCATAAAACATTGAAAATAGCTCAAGACAATTTTTAACCAAACTAAAAGACAGGGTCTCTTCCTATGCAGTCATGGGTGCACTTATCAGTTGAGGGATATGGTGCCTTTCTTACAGAATCTGTGGCTTGAACTTGGAACAAATCTGACTCCAATGCTTATTGTGTCCTCAGGAAGATTATTTTGTTTTGTTTTGGAGACAGAGTTTCTCTACGTAACATTCCTGGCTGACCTGGAACTCACTCTGTAGACCAGCCTGGCTTCAAAAATCACAGAGATCCACCTGCCTCTGCCTCCTGAGTGTTGGGTTAAAGGCATGCTCCACCACTAAGAGGCAGGTTTTTCTTTCCTTTTATTGAAAATAATTTTTTTTCTCACATAAAATATTCTGATCACAGTTTCCCCTCCCTCAATTCCTCCCATTTCCTCCCTACTTCCCCTTCCATCTGGATTCACACCATTTCTGTCCCTCATTAGAAAACAGACTTTGTAGGGATAATAATACAATACAATATAATGTAATGTTAAAACAAAAACTAACACGTCAGAACAGGACAAAACAAACAAACAGAAAGGAAAGAGCCCAAGAAAAGGCACAAGAAACAGCTACAGATGCAGAGACCCACTCATTTGCACACTCAGGAATCCCATCGAAAACACTGTTGCCTTCCTTTACCTGCATAATCCACCCCATCACCAGCCATCTAAGGCAGCTGCCTATGGAAGAACTGTGACTGTCGGGCAAGATAAGGCTCATCACAGCCAGCATAGAAAGACTGATCAGCAAGTCTTACTTTATTCTTTCCTTATGTGTTTAGTTTTATGGCTAAAACCAAAGACCCAAATCCAGAAAGTTCAAAGAGAATCACTGGTCACTTACTGAGAGTTTGTTCTTGCTCCACCTTAAAGACAGGGTTTTTCTACGGCTGTCCAGAACATAGTGATTGCCTTGTTTTTTAATGTGAATCATCTTATTGCTGTATGGCACCTGTACCCTGAAAAGTATTTAAAAAAAGGGTGTGCAAGTGGTGAGAATAGTTCTACTGTCACAAGGGCTGTTTAGGAATAAATACTATAGCATTGGTATTTTGGAAAAATGAACAGGGAGAATGTTGATTGGGTGTCAGAAAAAAAAACCAATCAAATAGTTTGAAATATTTATGAGTAGAATATCAATTGCCTCTCAATTTCTGATCCCAGAAAGCTGCCAGAGTTGGCCTCCCTGAAATATGAGTTGTTACTTCTGAAAAAATAATGGTCTAGGAGCTGTGATCTCCTCAATTTCTACTTTGTGCAGCTTCAACTTTGTATTTAGCATCAAGCATATCAATGCAAATGGCAATGTTCTGGTATCTATTTTGTGGAATATACATTTTACACTAAATCTAGGCACCGTATCACTGTGCAACAGAGACCCTGGTTGTGTTCTCACTTGCCATAGCAAGCATCGAAAGGGGGGGCCTGTCATCCATTCCTTACTTAACTTGGCTTTTGTGTCTGGTTGGTTTGGGTTCATACTTCAAACTCTTCTGCAATGCTTAGGCAGTACCTTCTGTTATTTACCTTTCATCATTAACAAAAATAGTATTATTCAAGACGGAGATGCCAACATCATCAATCACAGCCTTTATTTCTCCAATCTCACTGTTCCTGTGCCTTTTGATCTCAATATTGAAGTCTCCTCCGGATTCAGCACAGTCACGGCAAAACGTGTACGTGCAGGAAGATTCAAAGAAAAAGATGCGGCCATTGAAAGCCTTGTATGCGCCATTGCCCCACGTGGCCGTTTCACCTACACAGCAATCAGAAAAGAAATTCAGAGTTGCTGAGACCAATGAGCATACTTCTAGCTGCTTCTTATATTTATGTACCAAAAAGAAAAAAGAAAATCATGATAAGTTTCAGTTTGCCCAGTAGCTAAGTGCTTTAGTTATTTGTCTGACTTTTCTCACTACTGTAAAACTGAAACGAAAGCGGAAATAGATCCCAAGAGATGCCCGCAATGATCAGTCTGGCTAAAACACAACTCTAATGGAAACATCTATTTTTCCTTCGCGGGGGCGGGGGGTGGGGGGGAGAAAATTGTGTCTGATATGAGGGAGGAAGGGAAGGAAGCTGATGCTTCCTCGTTGACTTTGCTTTTAGTAGGGAGATTTATCCTGGGTGAATGTGGCACCATTTATATCATATGAGTGGAAAAATTAGATTACAATTTTTAAGTAGAAATGCATATATGTATGTGTACATAGATTATTTCATATGCTTATTCCTGGGCACTAAAAACAAACAGTGTGCATGGCATATCATTCAAACATGGAGTGGTCAAATAAATGGGTGAAGGAAAGGTAATTGTTTTCAATTAGTTTCAGATTTTTGTTACTTTGTGACTACTTTTCAGGTGCTGGGTTAGACTAAACATGAACGGACACTGAGTGATAGTCACTTACCCGCATCTTTATTGGCTTCTGAGTATGTGGGAGTTGCTTCTGGAACATGGGATCCTTTTTCTATTCAACACAAAGTATAGATAATATTTAAGTTGAAACATACATTGACTTAAGACATATTTAAAAGGATATGGTACTTCTAATTGGGAAGGTAAATGTTGTTGTCAAGGTGCGGTTCCTTATCCTTATGAATATGTAAAATTGCTCTTGAGAGCTAAGATTTGCCAAATTCATATGGATAATTATCTCTGAAATTCACTTTTCTTTCTGGGCCCAATTAGTCATTTGTTTGTTCTGAAATCTTTAGGGACAATTCATTTGGGATCATGCCCAATCACTAACATCCTATATCTATTTCACAGCCATCTGCTCTGCTTGAAAAATAAGCTAATCTTTTACATTATAAGCCAATCTTTATTAGAAGCCACAAAACAAGCAAGCCCAAGGTGCGGCTTAGTCCACCACTATTATTAATACTAATAATGCAATCATGTATGCATGTGGAAAATGTACTTTCCCTAGATGAAAGGGACTGACAAGTACCTTGAAATTTCAAATCTGCATGTATATTTCTAATCACCCTTTGATCTAGATAAGTAATTTGATATGAAATCTCAGGGTCAGGCTTAAATGTCAGGATAACAGAAGTAGGTATTTCATGAAAAATTTTAAACACTTTTTACAATGCTTTTATTGTCTGCTTATGAATTGTCTAACCACTCTCTTTTCCATAGAGTAGCTTTACTCAGATTGTGAGGACATAGATTATATGCCTAATTCGTTTAGAGCAGTTTATAACTATGTCTAAAGTGATGAAAGAGAATTGATGTTGTGCTTTATTAAAATTTCCCTAAAACATAATTTTTTTCATTATCATAAAACTTCTTTAAACACCTCATTGGTGTCCTAAATCTTTTCCTTAGGAAACACTAAGAGGCTCAATATTGTAAACACAGTGGCACAGTGACATCAAGTCCCTGTAAATTAGTAACCAACAGAATCCTTCAAACTTACATTTGTATGTGCATGTGTCTATTTTTTTTAAACACCCAAAGCCACAAATCAAATTACCTGGAGTACTGGGTGGTCCAGATGTAGTGTACTCAGATGAGCTTGTGGTACCTGTTTTAATAGAGAATTATGCATAGTAAAATACAGTTTTAAAAATCTGATGGATAAACCATGGATACAAGCTCAGCAATAATCATGCTGGAATACTTGGGCCTCAAGAAGCTGTATCAAAAAAAAAGGCATGTTATCAACTCAACTTCTACTGAAGCAAAATAATAATAATGAAGATGATGATGATGATGATGATGATGATTACATGTCAGATAAAAAGTTAACTTATTCCAGACACAACATCTTAGAATTTGGTAAGGGGAAGAGCAAAGAATTGTGTACACACAAATCAAAATATCTTACTTCAGTTTCAGTGAAACTAAGCTGCTTTACATTTGGGATATGTAAATGTCTTGAACAAAGGATTCTTGCCCATAGCAACCGGGAGTGTGCAAAACACTAACTAGATGAACGATGCCTTTACCATGGATATCAAGAAACCCAGGACGAGGGCCAAACGAAGTGGACACATGCCCTCATCCCTAACCCGGAAACTATTTCCAGTTGGTAATAAGTTGTAAATGAAAATTTAGATTTCTCCAAGTGAGTCTCACTGGGGAAGCAAACCACTCTTAAGGGTAGGCTGCATGCCCACCAGTAAATGGACAGCAAATAAACTCAGGTGTCTGGGAGATTCTACATCTCACACTGTAAAGTCAGGGTATTCTTTGCTTGTGGATTACGGCTTCCGGTTTTGTGTTGTTGTGGGATGTCTGTGTGCACACACGTGTGTCTGCATCTGCATGCATTTCATGTCCTTCTCTTTGGATCTTTTTCTCCTTTAGTTGTTTCCTCCTATTTTGATGTGTTTGCTTTTGTTTTATCTTATTTTCTCTTCATGTTATTCCTTAAACACCTATTTACTTGCTAATGAGAGACTTGGAAAAGGTGTAGATCTGGTGGAGAAGGAAGATGGGGAGGAAAAACAATGAGCAGGGGAGGGGAAAGTATAATCAGATTATATTGTATAAAGAAATCTATTTGCAATAAAAGAAAAAACACTAATCTTTGGGGAAAAAAAAAACAACAACAAAATAAATCCAGAACCTTCTATTGCCACTAGACTTACTGCCATTGGTACACTATCCCTCCCCAACCCCACACCCCCAAAAAAACAAACATTATGCTGTTTACTAAAAAATCTCCTTGGGGAAAATCAAAGTAGCCATGCTTCAACATAAAAATGGCTGAAAAGTCTCTAATGGGGAACTTTCTCACAGTAGAAACATAAGAAGTAGTTAATTCTGTTTATACTACCTAGCCAAACCTAACCGTGTGTGTGCACTGTGCTTTTCCTAAGCATGCTGTCCATCCCTCTCCTGCCTATCTCCTCCCTCCCTCCCCCCCACTCCTGCTCAAATCTTCCTTCCCTTCTCCCACCGCTGCTTATCTCTCCCTTTCCTTCCCAGCATCCCTGCTCATATCTCCCCTTCCTTCCCTGCACCCCTGCTTCCTTTCCATTCATGCTCACACCTCCCCCTTCCCTTCTCCCCTCCCTCCACCCATGCTCATCTCTCCACCTTCCATCATTCTACCCATGCCGCAATCTATGTTGAAACACTTCCAATAAACTCTAAAACTATTTCATATTAATCCATCTGAAAATTTGGCGTTTTAGTAAAGAATCGCCTAAACATGAACGGACACTGAGTGATAGTCACTT